CTAAATGATTAAATTCAAGGTGCATTAATGTCCTTTAACCCCGACAAAACAAGAAGAAAGAGGAGGAGTGTGGTTTCTCGCTCTTGGCTTAATTAGCCTTGATCAAGACACTCTTATTACAGTCTGTTTGAGCTCTCCGGCGTGTAGTGATCAAAGGCAGAGGCATTGATTTATTTTGGGTTAAAAGGAATTTCCAGAGGGCAGGATTAACATTTCACTGTACAGGCTTGACATTATAGGAAGCCGGCGTCAAGCTAAGCCCCTCACAAGAGCACACACAGACACAAAAGTTAGGGCTGGTATCAAAGACATGCAAATCGTTTCGATGATTTTCTTCATTATTGGCGCGTGTGCGTTCACCGTCCATCCAAAAAAAATAAAAAAATGTTTAAAAAATCGGTCACCGGCTGGATTTTATCATGAAAACTCAGCTGGGGTCGCATCATTGGTGAAGTCATGTAATGGGTCGACCAGAAAGCAGATGTTTGTCCTTCCAGATGTGAGAATGAGAATGAGAAAGGCCTTTTTAAAGATGGAGCCGAGCATTATTCATCACTAACAGAAGGGAAAAAGAACAAATCCCAGATTTCGTTTCAGAGTCTGAGCTCTGAGCCGGACCGTCTCTTCCTTTAATGAGCTTCCCTCCAACAAAATGATTCCTCTCAGAGAGAAGATTCAGGATATTCTCCACGTTGACCAACTAAAGCAGCATTAGAGGATCCTCAGAGCCTTATTTCTGAATTTAGGTCCAGTACATCTCTCTAAAACCAGCTCAATCTAAACCACTGACTGCTGTTTTCCACCCAAAACCATATAAATATATATATACATAGGGGGTGTACAGAGGTAAATTAAGGTACCGAAATCCTGACAGACCCCATAATTCTGTTTTCTTCTATTTAATTAGAAGAATATATAAACAGAAGAAGAAGAAAAAACAATATACATATATGGGGGTGCATGGGGTAAATTAAGGTAACGAAATCCTGACAGGCCCAATATTTCTCTTTTCTTCTATTTAATTAGAAGAATATATAAACAGAAGAAGAAGAAAAAAAAACAATATATATATATGGGGGTGCATGGGGTAAATTAAGGTAACGAAATCCTAATAGACCCAATATTTCTGTTTTCTTCGGTTTATATAGAAGAATATATAAAAAGAAGAAGAAGAAAAAAAAAAATATATATAGGGGGTGTACTGGGGTAAATTAAGGTAACAAAGTCCTGACAGACGTCATATTTCAGTTTTCTTCTGTTTATATAGATTAACATATAAACAGAAGAAAAGATATATATATATATATATATATATATATATATAATTTAACTCATTGACTGCCAGCCATTTTCAGAACAGAGAGTCGCTCACTGCCAGAGTTTTTTGAGAATTTTGACTGATTTTTCAAGAGCCACAGAATAGTTTGTGCTATGACTATGTAAACACCGAACACACCAAAAGAAAGAGTAGACTCTCTTCTTTCATCAGGAAAAAAGATTTTGTTTCTACCTCACTCCGTTCTTCTTCGACGTGCGTCTCACCGGCGCCATTTCTCTCATAGCGAACTATTGCGTTTTTATTTGCTTACAATCTATGCTAATCTCCCATCAAAAGTGGCACAGCTACCTAGAGGGTAAATTTGTTAGTACATACTCTGTCTAGAGGCCGATATTTACGGGAAAACTTTCGCCGAACGTCCCCCAAGCCACTCGCATTGAAAAACATAAAAGACGTCTATAAACGTCTTTGGCAGTCAGCGGTTGGATTTGAAAAGACGTCTATAGACGTCTTTGGCAGCGAATTAGTTAATAATAATAATATATATAATTTAAGGTAACGAAATCCAGACAGAGCCCATATTTCAGTTTTCTTCTGTTTGCAACCTGATTCTTACCTGATACCATTTGCGAGTTGATGGTAGTCATGGCGACATTGCCCTGTTGCAGGCCTCCAGAGGGCACCACAATCCCCGAAGGGTTAACGGAGCTGGAGACAGAGGTCATGGATGGAGAGGAGGTCTGAATTAGTTCCTAGAATCACAGAGGGGAGACACTGGTGAGCGGCTGTGTATCGCGAGTGAAAAAGGGACAAGACTTTTTGCAAATGTCAAAACGCAGAACGTGGGACGCGTTAGCATCGAACAGCATCATGTCTCGAATCCCGACTCTGAGACGGGAATATTAAACGGGAGGAGAGGTAAAAGCAACAACTGGGGAACCCCACAGACCCATTCGGTCTGAGACCCAGTTAATATGCATGCTAATACTTCAGTGCTTTGGTCAGTTTACTTCCTGTTAGCATGGATTAGCCTTTCCAAGTCTGGTTGGGACACTTTTCCTCTGATTCTGGCAAAGATTTCTAGATGGTAAAAAAAAAAAGATGACGCTGATGTTTCGGATTTAATGTGGCTAATAAAGTCCAGGTCTAAGTCCAGTGTTTCCCCGAGATTTCTACCTTAATGGAAGCATGTTCATATTGAACAAAAGGGGTCCAAGGATTGACCCCTGGGGAACCCCACAGACCCACTCGGTCTGAGACCCAGTTTCCAATTTGAACCAAGTTACACCTGTGCTCGAGCTAAGACTTGAACCAGTTTAAAGCCGTATCAGAGATTCCCACCCAGACTTCTAACCCTTTTAAAAAAAGAAAGTCACATGATCAAAGGTGGTGCTCAGATCCAGCAGAACTAAGGCCCAGACTTTGCCTGTTCAGTGCTGTGGGGGGGCCTAAAGCCCCTCAGAAAGTCAGTAAGCTGTATAGGTATAGTACGTTTTTTCAAGAAATGTCAGGTTTGATATGGGCCTGTTTGGTACTGTGAGGAATGATGCACAGCTCCACTCTAAAACACCACTTTTAATAGTGTGACAGTACCTGGATATTCTCTAGAGAGGACACCAATTTATGTTTGAGAACACAAAGGATTTTTTTCTATAGGAATATGCGTCAGATTATGAGGTCAATAAATGGGCTTAAAAAGAGTACATTAAAGAGGCAGAGTCTCAGAAGTAAGAATGAACCCGGTCTCAGGTTGTTTAACTAATAGTTTTCATTAACCCTTTAAAGCCTGATCCAAGAAAAATAGGAAGAATATTGGATATTTTTATCTTAAGTCTTTCTTTGGCCCATCAACAACATGTGAAGAAAAAAAAACAGAAATTATTTTGATCAAATTAGCGTGCAATAAGTCAAAAATATATTTTGGTGTAGTCTTCTACTGGCTGTTATCAGGTATATCTGAACAGGGGTTTGAGCAAAGCTTTTACCACTGAATGATGGAAAAAGTCTCAGGTCCAAAAGACTTCAGAAACCGTATGAATCAAATATGATACATTTGGCATTATAGGGTTAAGTTTTAAACGTCTGACATTTCAGCGTTTCATATATATGGGAATGGGGCAGAGTTCAGTGGGAGGAGCCTGTGAGAAAAGCAAAACTTGGCTCTTTTCCGCCCCTCACCTGCTGCATGCTGAGACTGGTGTGAGTTGGGGAGTAGGGCCCCCCGAGGTCGTTTCGGAGGAGGTTGTCGCTGTGCATCTTGGTCTTGAGGCAGGTGATGTAGCGGTTGCAGAAATCCTTGCAGAGCTCATTGACCTTCTCCAGCTCCAGCAGGTGAATCCGCAACACCTGAATGGCCTTCACCATCTGGGAGGAAAGACAGCGAACCCCCCCAAAACAGATCACACTCATTTAGCCGCCACAGAGAAGTACAAAAACAGAGAACATGGTCATGTTTCACCTTAGAGGGACGTATCATGCTCCATGGGAAACTAGCATACCGGTCTGTATGTATAGAAAATAATATCGGGAGGATCTTATTCACTTGAATAAGCTGTACTTATTCAAGTGATTAGTTGAATAGCCTACTAGTATACTTTTTCACGATATTCTAATATTTTGAGATAGGATTTTTGAGTTTTCTTAAGCTGTACGCCATAATCAGCTATATTAAAACAATCAAAGGCTTGCGATATTTCAGTTGATTTGTAATGAATCCAGAATGTATGACATTTCATGTTTTTTAATTGCATTACAGAAAATAAAGAACTTTATCACAATATTCTAATTTTCTGAGACAGTCCTGTACATCCAAATATACATTACATTTTTCAAATTAAATGGGATTTCTCCTCATCTGAGGATAGACTATTTTTTTTAGCTTCCGTACAGACTGTGAGAAGCTCCTGAGGCCAATCGCTTATAGATGTAGTTCAGAGAGGAAAACAAAGGCTAAAATAACTTGTCTTTGGTTGGTTTTGTTGTTCACTAATCAGTGTTCAATGACTGAATAAAAAACGTCTTTCTTCACGTATGTTTTTAATGAAGCAGGTTCTCCACACGAGGAATTTTCATAATGGTGAAGGAAAGACTCAAATCTGAGATTTTACCTCGGATGATCCATGCTAAACAGTTTCAAAGTCTCCACCTGCCACCCAAAATAAATAATTCACATGTTGGACTCCACCAGCTGCCCATTCTCAGCCGTCCAGTTTCAGTTTCTCTTTCCCATCAGATGATTCATTATGATTTACTTGGCCGTGGGATAAAAAAAAAGGTGGATCAAAAGTTTTGGTTTCAAAAGTTTCCAAGGCATTAAGACACTGAGATTTGTCTGCATGCTAATTAACCAGTAAATCTAAGCAAAAATGAGATTTTAATACCTTTTCAGAGAACGAAGGTCAGAAAAACCTGAGAAATGGTCTTTCAGTGCCTCCGCCTTACACTCTGGATGGGAATAAACCTCCAGAACCAAAGTGTTAAAAAGCCATTAGAAGGATAAACACAGCCCACTGCAATTAATCAACTCAAATTCTTTAATTTTTCCTCACCTTTACAGGTATGATGTCACACAATAAGAATGAATCTAAAATGACTGAACGTTACTTAGTTCAACTTCTTGGGTAAGCCATGGAAGTCTTAATGATGAACTAGAATTCGACTGTGCAGCATTTAGATTTAAAGATCTATGGATTCAATCTATAATTGATGTATCTCATTGTTAACTGACATGATTATTTTAAGGTAGATTACCACAAAAATTGTGTATTTCCTTTATCTGAGTGTTTACATTCCGTCGTCATAGGAAAAGGGAAAATGCACTTTAGTACCTTTTTGTCTTTTTATTGCAGCAGTAGTGATGCAAAGTCACTGTTTGTTCAGATATACTTAAACAAAAACCCAGTTGTTCCATTTTTTTCTATTAAAGTGATAAAATGTAGTGAAATAAATACAATCAGATGTACTTTGGTGCAAAAATTCTGCAAGGAAAACAGATAACCGCTAAACTTTTTATCCCTTTAAAGCCTGATCCAAGAATAAAACAAAACAGAAAATTACTTTTTTTGGGTTTGAATTCCTTATTTGGCTTTTTAACAAAATATGTAAAAAGAACAAACAGAAATACATTTTTGATATTAATAATTTATTACTATGTGATAAGTCAAGATAATATTTTGTATAGTCTTCTGCCCCCTGTTATCAAGTGTATCTGATTGTGTACAATAGGATTTTGAGCAAAGTTTTTACCATTAAATTAAGCAAAAGGTGTCAGACGCAAAACACTTCAGAAACTATACGTATCAAATATGATACATTTGGCATTACAGGGTTATGGGAAAAGTGTGTTTAAAACCTATATTAGGAATAAATAAGTAAATAAACATAAATATCTCGTGCACGTTGAATGTTTAATTCTCCACCGTGCTGTAGCAAAGTCACCACTGAAGGTCGATCAACAGGATGGGAAGAAGGGAGCGGCTGGCCGAGGAGGAGGAGATAAATCAGCTAATTAAACCGCTCCGGCTTAATCAGGGGACCGGTAACTCCTGAGTAACGTCCCCACCCGGTGGAAGAGGGACGCTGACACCCCGGGCCTCGTAAAACACAGAATATGCTTTTAACTCATTGACTGCCAGAGTTTTTTTTTAGCCTTTTGACTGATTTTTCAAGAGCCACAGAATAGTTTGTGCTATGACTATGTCAACGCCGAACACACCAAAAGAAAGAGTAGACTCACTTCTTTTATCAGGAAAAACAAATTTGTTTCTACCTTATTCCGTTCTTTAGTAATCAGCAGTAGAACATAGGTTGGTTTCAACAAAAACACCAGTTTTTGACCAATAAATGGAGAAAACAAGCTTTTTGTGAAAAGATACAGTTCAAGCAGAGAAGTGTCTTTGATGCTATTTCTTTGGCTTTAGTGACACCTCAAACATCTTAAAAGTTGTATCCTTCTATAAAACGGCAAAAACAACATCTAGAAATGGTTTTAAATTACAAAATAATTTATTCCCAAATACATTTATGTAAATAGTTCTGAAACACGACGTGAGCTAGGCCTACTCTCTCCGCTTGGCCCGGGTTGATCTCCTTAATTTCCCACGATCGGGACACCAACCGAACTACTGCGATTACTGCGACACAAACTCTGTTTGAGTGTGAGCTTCCTCGACTTGCGTCTCACCGGCGACATGTTCTCTCATATGGAACCGTTACCTTTTTCTTATTTGCCTACAGTCTATGCTCATCTCCCATCAAAAGTGGCACTGCCCCCTAGAGGGTCAATTTGTTACTACATACTCTGTCTAGAAGCCTGATATTTACGGACAAGCTTTAGCAGATCGTCCCCCAGCCACTCTCGTTGAAAAACATAAAAGACGTCTATAGACGTCTTTGGCAGCCAACGGTTGTATTTGAATTGACGTCTATAGACGTCTTTGGCAGCCAATGAGTTAATTGACTGCTCAGCACTAGTCGACCTGCCCTCCCGAGAAGTAAGTCGGCAAAGGCTGCCACTTTCCTCCGTTCTCCTCCAGCCTTATTTCCGCTCGCCCTCTTTGTCTCTGGCTCGTGTCGGCGAACGCGATCAGCGCGCTCCCCTTTAGGAATGTGTAATTACCGCTGGCTGTTGCGCGAGGAGAGAGGGGGAAGGAGGAGGAGGAGGAGGATGTGCGAGATTACACGAAAAAGGAGGGAATGATTAGGAGCAGTAATGACGGGTTTCGAAAACAACTGCGGTTTTTCTGCAGCTTCGCTTTTCAACGAAGTCACGCCTGCCCGAGTTTACGGTCTCAAACTCGAACCAAACGGTTCAAATCTGAATAGGAACAGGCACGTTTTGCGCACGGGACTCACAGAAATCCGTACAGATCGTTAAAGGGGACATATTATGATTAAAACCCAAGTTTTTAATCATTTGATTATGTACATTTGGGACTGTGGAGGGCCTATCAGCAGGCAAAGTGTGAAAAAAA